TCAAGGGAAATTTTATGAATTGATCCTTCCTACGAAGAAGAGCGCGCTCGAATTCACTACAAATGCATTTTGCTGTTGACTTTCCGTATCCAAATTGTAATCCACAGCTTCTATAACTGTTGCCGGTTGCAAGTCGCCATAATGCTAAACCAACTCTTTCTTCTACACTAATTGGCACTCGCATCCGCGTGTGTTGTTTTTGTATATCTGCTCTTATTAGGTCACATAGGTATTCAAATGTTGCGTGAGTGATACGAAAATGTTCCTTCCAAAGAAAATGCAGGATTAGCTATAAGAAGGCGAAACCAGTTCTGTGGTCTAGGCCAAACCCAAGCTCTTCTTTTTAGTTGTGGTCTTTGTTGTTGTGAGTGCCCTGCCATATAAATAAGCAACATCCAACGGTTTCACCGGCTAATTCTAAAGGCTTCCTCCATTAAAGCGAAGCAATACATTTGTCGAAGCATGAAAGACCGCTGTCGCAAAAGTAGGAAAGCAAAAATCAAAATAAGGGACGCTATTCNAAAGAAAATGCAGTGCTGGATTAGCTATAAGAAGGCGAAACCAGTTCTGTGGTCTAGGCCAAACCCAAGCTCTTCTTTTCAGTTGTGGTCTTTGTTGTTGTGAGTGCCCTGCCATATAAATAAGCAACATCCGACGGTTTCGCCGGCTAATTCTAAAGGCTTCCTCCATTAAAGCGAAGCAATACATTTGTTGAAGCATGAAAGACCGCTGTCGCAAAAGTAGGAAAGCAAAAATCAAAATAAGGGACGCTATTCGAACGTTTCGAGGTCACGGCATAATGAAGCTTTGAGTGTCTTGACTACATTTACTTTGGCGGGTTTTACTGTGTAGTTTGATTGACAAGCGATTCCGCAAGTAGCATACTTTGCAATTTAGTATGAAAGCTTATCTTTAAAAGTTAGCACCGCCAGTCTCAAGTTCACTTGAGTTTTTATCGTACTTAAGGCCTACTTGGGCCCTAGTATGAACTTACCTAGTATATAAAGAATAAACCCACAAAATGGGGCATAAAGTTGTGGGTACGTGCAGACAGTGCAAATGGTTATACATGGTTATACATGGTTAAGGCAGTCAGTTCCACTGAAACTGCATGTTCATAAGCCCAACTTCGAGAATATCCTTGATTTAGAAAAATTTCAGTGTCGTGATTCTTATCATCTTCTTATAAAGCAAAAATGCAAAAAACCAAATAAATGGGCCAAGTTGAGAGAAGAATGTAATCTAGAGGATAAGCAACTTTTGGAGGCATTCGTGATGCCACTGAGGGTTGCAAATTAACCTTATGTACGTTCTTTTCAGTATCACGAACTGAATTCTATTCTATATACAAATGAATTACTTTGTAAGATAGGCTATATTTCTGACCCCAACTGT